CCTACTCCGATAAATAAAGAGGGGAAATTTTACTCTGGTGTGAGATTTCCCCTTGGGGGAAAATCCTACTCTAGAGTACGATTATGTCATTTAAGTTGACAAGGGCGATAACTTCAAATAAAAATACATAGAGGCAGTCTACCAAAATCTTCTTCATTTGACTAAATATATAATTCGGGATTGACATTCACTATCTTTATCCCTTGTTTGCAATCGGTTTATTTGAATTCTATATTTTGAATATTTTTTCTGCACAGACATTGTGAGGTTGCGTTGACAAAAGCCAATCTTGCATCTTGACTCTCGTTGTTCTACGTTGAAACCGGTATTTCATATTTTGAATATTAATGTTCGTTTGGTATTGGCCATGCATGCCTCTGGGAAAATACAATTTAATGTAGCAGTAGAAAAATCCTTTTTTAGGGTCGTAAGAAGCAATTTCAGTTTTGGGGAAAAGAGGGTGGTCAGTTCGGTTACTATTAACTATGAAAAATTCTTTGACAAGCAAAAAAAAAAAAAAAAAAAGAAAGGTTATCAAACATATTTATTGAGGGGACACAGGCATAATGTAGCTTAGTTTTCTACAGCTGTATAGTATTCTATACATCGGGAAAATTATTGGGGAGGGGGAAAATTATTGGGGAGGGTCCCGCCCCTCCCCCGGACTCCGGACCCCTCCCGGTTCCTACGGCTATGTTTTTTCAAGGAATTTTGTCAAATTTCTTTTTTTAATGTACATGTATGTTTCACTGCTACATTAAATTATTTGTATATTCCCAGCGGCATGCATGGCCAATACCCGTAATTATAGGTGAGCATTCACTCATACGCTGAAGGCCTAACGGTTAACCTATCAAAAACTGTAAAGTTAAAACCTATGGTTAGAGGAGTAGAACCATGTAACAAATATAGATTAATTGTAGTTTTAAAAACAGTACATATTGAATAAAATACCAAACGAACAATTCAATTCAAAGCAAAAATATAAAATACTGATTTCAGTGTAGAACAACGAGGGAGTCAAGATGCAAGTGCATTTTGGCTCGTATCAACGCAACCTCACAATGTCTGCATGAGCAGAAAAAAATATTCAAAATATAGAATTCAAATAAATTGATTGCAAACAAGGGATAAAGATATTGAATGTCAATCCCAAAATATATATTAAGTGAATTGAAGAATATTTTGGTATACCGTCTCTATAATTTTTTGTCTTAAGTTATCGCCCTTGTAAAATTAAATGACAAAATATTTTTTTGCATAAATAGTCAATTCTGATAAATTTACTTAAAATAAAAAGATCAAGAAAAGACATTTTATAATTTTATTTTACAACAACGAAAGAATATTCTCTTTATTATGGAAAAAGAATTATATCCATTATTTTTAATTGTAAACAATTATGAAAATCGATGTATTATGCATATAAATAGTTTATTTCACACGAGATAGAAGTAACTTAGTCCGAAGGACAAAATCAAAAAAAAAAAAAAGAAAGAGAGAGTGAGAATGTGGGGAGACAGAGAAAATGACACAATGGGAGGGGAGGAGGAGTGAGACGGAGAGGTAAAGTGAGGGAGAGAAAAGAGGGTGAGAGTGGGCGGTTACTACTTCCCATTCTATCTACACACCTTCTGCCTACTCTCCTTTCTCTCTCCTAATCACAATTAGCCTCCTACCATCTCTCTCGCTGTATTTGATAGAGAGAGAGGGCGAGAGAAGAGAAAGAGTTGGGATGAGAGTAGATCCTCTCTCTCCCCACTCCCACTCTCTCTACCCACTCTTATTCTATCTTTTCCTACTCTCCCTAGACAGAGTAGGGAAAGATGGAGTAAGAGTGGGCAAAAAGTGAGAGTGGGGAGAGAGGGAGTGAGAGTGGGGAGGGAGAGAGAGAGGGAGAGTGGGGAGAGAGGAGTGAGAGTGGGGAGAGAGGAGGGAGAGTGGGGAGAGAGGAGTGAGAGTGGGGAGAGAGAGTGGAGTGGGAGTGCAAACAGTGGGTAGTGAGGGGGGAGGAAAAGGAGAGTGGGAAGTGAATGTGTGGAGAGAGTGATAGTGGGGAGAAGAAATCAATTGAGAGCAATTTTTTTATCGAAATGATATCGATATATCCAATGTATGATACCTTGATTATCGAACGCCATTACTGCCCTCATAAACCCTTGGCCTACGGTGTTCATAGAAATTGGGATTTTTTTTCCAGAGTTCTGATTGGATTTCAGTACATCCAGGTCGACCAATCAGCAATTATTTTTTGTAAATGACGATATTTGCGTTCGGGATACATCTTCACTCTTTAATCCCGGAAATGAAAAACGCAAGTAAACAACGGTCCGTAAGATAACATTCAATTCTATGAATAGCCATGGTGTCATCCAGTATCTTCTAAATATGTGATTAAGAATCCATATTGAAGCTTCAGATTTGTTCTATAAATAATGAATAGACATAACTCAATTACTGCTTCTTAATTATTCTTGAAAAATCATTGATATAATTTTTTTGAACACGTGTCTTTATTTCTGGCGATGACGCAATCTGTGCATACCTGATAGATTCGAGATCACGTGACGGAAAACAATCCCGTCTTTTGACTTCACCGTATGCCAAGGGTTTATGAGGAGAGTAGCGTATCAGAAACCCTTTGCTAGCGAAGATGCCAATGCCTTATACCTTAACTAGGCATTTATTATGTCAATTTATCATTACGTGATGTTAACATATATTTACCTTATGTCATTTCTTTATGAGATGATGTAAAAATATCTTAACATCATGATGAATACATCTGCCTTATGTAATACAATGTTGATGTTATATATTTATAATATATTTACATCATGTAAATCGGTGTTGAAATAATGGTACGATTTTTTTACGTAATATAATTCCAAATAAACAATACTTAAAGATTTGATAACCTTAACTAAAGGCTTTTTCGATTTCATGAAATAGAGATTTGAAGAAATGTAAAAAGCCATTTACACTCTGTATGAACTTTTGATATCATGCAATGGTTAGTGACATAATGTATCTATAGTTTTTACTATCGGGCAGTGATTGCATTCAATAGTGGACCTAACGCCATGGATGAGTTGACATTAAAAAAAACCTTTTCACATATAGTTGTGTCCTTTTGACTTGAGGTACGTAAGATTAGTCTTTATCTATAGTACATCCTTAGATCACATAATAATCAATCAATCCAACGCAATACTGAGTTATCAAAATATGACTATATATATATTTACATCATGAAAAAAATTAAGTCTTTTGACTAAATGTCAATAATAGTTGATGCAATTTATTAGAAAACTGGTGCAATGCAATTTGTAATCAACTTAACGTAATTATGAGTTGAAATGATATTTTATTCAATGTAAAAAGATGTTAACTAGAATGTCATAATGAGATGACATTTTGTACTGTTAGCTTGATGCAAATGTAATGGTAGTATGTGTAAATGTCATAAACAATTGACATAATGTAATGTAAGGGTGACACAACATTTATGTAATTGTTTCGAATTAAATGTCATGAAAAGTAAACATAAGGAAATGCAAGTTGACGAAACATGATTGTAGTATGTGTAAATGTCATAAAGAGTAGACATATTGTGAAGGAAAGTTGACACGATGCAACAGCAGTGTGGATAAATGTCATAAAGAGTTGACATAATGTAATTGAAGGTTGACACAATGTAATTGTTGTGTTCTGCAATAGGGCAGTGACGGAGTTCCATAGGAAAGATCTGAGTTCCTCAAGTTGATAGAAAGAAAAACCGATTTTTTAACAGAGTTCCGAAAGGTCATCATTATAAAGAAGAAAGCACCACATATAATACTGTGTCTACATCATTTTGAAATGCAAAATCTACCGCACGGAATGCTAACTGGAATGCCATAATATATAACAGCAATACTACACATAAAGATGAATATACTGTATAACTAAGCAATTGATAAGTAAATAAGTCTTGGAAATAAGTGTATAGTTATGATGAGCAATGGTGCCTCTTTCAAAATTGTGAATGCAATAGCATCTAGCTAAAAACATGAAGCAAATTCAATCACTTGAAAGTTGTTACATGATGCTCAGGTGACCTATACGGACCATGTTATGGGATATATCTCTATTGATATACTCATATTGCTTCCGTCAACGCTGCAATCTTCCCGTCACCATATTGCCTGATGATCCATTGTGGTACCCTGACGATCCGTCTAGAAAACTGCGAATAATCATTCCGTCAACGCCTTTTTCCACCGTATAGTACATCCGTAATAAGACAGCGTATTCCATGTATTGCAATTGGTACAACATAGTTTTTTCCGCAAAGCCAATAGGTGCCAAAACATAATACTGTACCCGTAATCACCCCAACTTTAAGGATAAATAACTCAAACTTTTTAGGTCACCTGAGTAAACTCAGTAAATTCTCTGGACCCACAGAACCAATTTCAACGAAATTTGGTATACAACATCTATGGGTGATGGGGAACAAAAATTTTGAATTTCATGGCCCCTGCCCCCCTGGGGCCTGAGGGGTGGGTCCAAAACCACTTTAAATAATGCAGTCTTTAAAAACTTCTTCTTTACTCATGGACATCAGGCAGTCAAACTGTTGACGTGATTGTAATCAGCATTGAGTCCTCTACCAAAATTGTGAATATTATGGTTTAAAAACAAAGTTTTATTATATTATAGGTTTAAAAACAGCTGTTTGCGATTAAAATATATTACATCTAATGTGTATCGAAAAAAATAATTTCAGTGCCTTGAATTTAAAATCAAACACCGGTATTCAGTGCCTTACAATGTTGTTCTGTCCACTATTTTCTTTAAGCCTGTAATAATTCAAGTCAATGTCTTTTTCACAAATAAAAATGTATTTTTGTCTGCCAAATATCAATTTGAAAAGCAAATGCTGACAAAGGAGAGGAGAATATTTAGCCACATTTGCATGATTCGCTGTTAAAAAGAGTAAAAACATTCGATTTCAGACTCTCCTAAGGTATCCCTTGTTGGAGGTAACAGTACAAAGACTGGTTTGATAGAGTTTACAATAGAGGGAGAAAAGGGGTACATACCTCCAGTAGGTCAAAACGAAGCCAAGGTTATTTGTCGACAACTTGGATTTACAACGTAAGACGACGTCAAATATGTGACATTTTATAAATGATCCATTTTTGTAAAATTACAATTTAAATTTTGACATATTGTAGTATATATGGCTGCATTCTGTTGTATCATATTGCTTATTAATTCCTTTATCTAATGTTAAAAAAATGTTTTATTACAAGCAAAATATTTATAATGAACATTTGATTTGAGAGAATGACAGTACGTAAGGATTTATGCTCTTTTTCAGAAATGTAGCTTACTTTGAGGGATCTAAAGCATTCCCCTCTAAGTATGCTCGTCGCTGGGCATCCTCAATTTCCTGTACTGGTACAGAAGAAAGTGTTTTTGATTGTTCTTTGATTATCGATGGGACATTCAAAACAGAACAATATGCGTATCTTTCCTGTGAAGGCAAGAACTACTGTAAACCAACTTTTATTCGCGACGACTTTATTTCGCGATTTACCGAGAATAAACTAGTTCGCGACGATTAATTTTCGCGATTAAGCCGTTTTTGGAACTGTTTTAATAGTAAAAGAGACTTTAAGGACCTGTTCGCGGCGAGAAATATTCGCGATAACGAAGCTCTCGCGAAAATTTCTCGCACGCGAATAAAAGTTGTTTTACAGTATGCGTTTTATTTTATGACGTTATTACTGTTTTGAAATGTTCAGCATAAGCATCTCTTACATAACCTCTAATATTCAATAATGCATCATTAAGATTGCTTATTTAAATGGCTTGGAGATGTGTCTTGTTATTAAATGATATGTGTACGGATAAGAAAAAAGAGAAGTACATGTAGTCAATTTCTATTAGGGTAATTCTATTTCAGACTCCTTTACACTCAGTGTTATAGATGGTCTTGCTCAACACCAAGGGACCCTTCGCCTATCACTTGGAAATTTAAACGGTTATATACACCAGGAAAATTCTATTCATTGGAGAAGACAGGAGGCAACAGTTGCTTGTCGGCAACTTGGATTCCCTACGTAATGAAGATTCCCCTTTAAGGGTTTCTTTTTAGTTTTTGATCTATTAAAGGCGTAAACACTCCTAGCTTCCACTTTTTGCCATGTTTTTTAAACCAGCATACAATATCAACTTTTTCATTAAAAAAACTGAAACTGATATTCATATTAGTTAATAACGATATGTTCAGGCAATATAATTCAATATTTAAGTCTAAAAGATAAATTTGTATAAACATTCATATTTCTAAATTATATATTGGCCCTATCGTTGCCATATCAAAAGTGGTTCATGTTTATAAATGTTTGTAAACAACAATGGCAGCGTTTGGCTTGTCACTTTAATAAACCTTTATTTAAAATAATTTTAAATATCAAACTTTAATTTCTTTGCCCTCATTGCCAGCTTCAAAGCCTTTGCCTATAACCATTTTGGACGTAAAACAGGATGGAGGCTGATTAGTTCTGTTTCATGTCTTGGAAATGAAAGGGTTATAGGTCAGTGCGCAATGAATTATGGACAGGGAGAAGTGGTGTCAACCGAGTTCCAAGGAGTTATATGCACAGGTAGCAAGTAAAAGATCTATACCAGAATTGGAATGGTATTCTACTTAAAACAATTTGGAAAATTTTGTAATCATACGGACTACGCAATAAGGTTTTGCACTTTGCAACAAAGCAGTCTTGAGTAAAGATAATATATCATCGAGAGGGTCAAAACCTAGAGATGAACTGTGCCTGAAAGGACACACATATATAAAATATTACTTAGTGCTTATTCAAATTACTTCAAACCATGGCCTAGAGGGTACGTTTTGACAACATTTGGAGGTTAAGGTATTAAAAATGTCACTATAAATATTGACAAATGCAAGAGGAAAAATAAAGAAATCTTGTAATCAGAAGATCAGAAGATTTTGACATTTAATAAACATACATCACTATATAGTTAAATTTTACCCGGTTCAAGGGTATGACCCAGATAAAGGTTAAGTTTGATATAGGTATATGCGGAATAAAATATATCACTATAAACGAATTGTAAGAAAGGATATCAAACATGAGCAGGTTTATCATCATTTGGATTAGGCCACAACGTACCTAAACCATTCATACATTTTTGTCATTAGAATGAATGGAAAAAAAAACTTTAAAAGATTACTTCATGATGAAAAGGGCTACAATTAATATAGTTGTTTGTTATAATGAAAAATACAGGTATGGACGACTATGCGGTCCGTGTATCAGATGGTCAGTACGACAGAGGTCGAGTAGAAGTATCAGTAGGAGGAACCTGGGGAAGCGTGTCATCCTCCAGTGTGTGGTCATCTGGCAAAAACGCTCAAGTTATCTGTACTCAACTGGGATTTCAATCGTACGTATTATCACAACTAATAAATAAGCACTCGTTTATAAAATTTACAAAAGCTAATTAAATAGCATCGTCAGCACACTAGGTAAGTTTTTTTCATTAAAAAGTACAAGATCGAAGAATACTGAGAGATTAATGATATATTTCTTAAGCTTTATATAATTACAATATCCAAATTTAATTTATGCGTATATTTGTTAAGTTATTTACTATTTCCTGTAATAAGCCTTTCCTTTTTAGCGGAGTAGCCATCACCAATGGAACATACCTTCGCGGATCAGGTCCGGTCTGGATTAGAGATTTAAATTGTGCTGGACATGAGAGATCAATACGTGACTGTTCCTTTACCATTAATGGAACAGATTTATATTCCAGATCATCTTCACCTGATGTCGGTGTCATTCTCAATCAAAAGTTTACACGTAAGTCCCCCATAAACCAATTTTTACACGAAAGAACTAATTAAAATTTTACAATAAGTTGTCAAACAATTAGTTAGCTTAATTTCATTTTTAAATTATTAGATCCATCTTTTAGGGCATGCATGCGGATTAAACTAGAAAATAAAGATAGTTTTTATCTGTAGAAAAAGATGGTTTAAAGCTTCTCATTAATATTAGTGAAAATACTTCAGAATTTAATTTGTCTCACTTTTACCAAATGAAAGGACAGTGCCTGTGAAATGTAAGGAAGTAAATCATAAGCCTCAAACTGATCATTGTGTCAGCTATGTTCAATATTTCATTTAACATGCCTCAAATATAATATATATAGTCTAATCTTATATCTAAAAATAATAAACAGTTCGACTTATAACTATACCATATTTCTCTATTTTTACTAGGGGTGACTTCATCGACGAAAAATTCGAAGTCGTCACAAACTTCACAAGAAAATGTTCCAACTACAGAAACTGTATTGAAACCAAAGAATACAACAGAAGGAAATGAGGAGACATCAGATGAAACAGACAAAGAAGAGGAGATTATCAATGATAATACAGGATTGTTTGTGGGCATTTCTGTGGCAGCTCTTTCTGTCGCCATTTTCATTGTTCTTGTTATCTGTTGGAAATTGAGAAGTACAATTAAAAAAGGTAAAAATAAACTTATTTTATTTTATAAAATATATACATAAAAAGGGTAAAGTTTCTATTTATTTCATAAAGACACACACCAGTCTTTTAACAGCTATATCAACTTCACCCTCTTCAACTTTGCTTTAATTATGCAGTTTTATTACACACTTAGTAATAAATACAGGATTTTTGCATATGCGATATGCCTGACTTCACAATAGCCATATCAGCCCTGATATGGATTTGCAGGGCTGATATAGGTTTCAGCCCTGCAGGGCTGATACGGATCAATATCCCACCCTTAGTAAATTAAACCACAAAAACAGTACTTGTGATCATACACAACTTTTGGTGGATTCATATTCTCTTAATTTTAACTTTTTGAAAATATGGTTAATCTTAATTTACAAATAATATTAGATAATTTTCAAATTACAGATCGAGTGCATTAGAATAGAAGTAGAAACAAACCCAAATCATATGAGACAATAGGCCATGTACATATGTATGTAAGAAGTCCATGCATGATTATTTACTTATTTTCTTCTCAACTTAATGTATGCTGTATTTTATTACTAAGTATGTAACAAACATATAAATACATACCCTTTTCCACATCACATCCTGTATCAGCCCTCAACCAATATCAGCCCTCGGGCCTTCGCCCTCTGGCTGATATTGGTGTCTCGGGCTGATACAGGATGTGATTTGGAAAAGAGTATGTATTATTCTCTATATATCTCACTATCATCTGCAAATGGTGTTAATATCTCACAACTCATTCGATACTCAAGAGCATGCTCCGAGTATGATCGGATTTTAAACCGAGGCAGCCTAATAATAGATACATGTACGTTAATCTTATATCATATACCTAGTAGTGTATCAGCCCTGATACAGGCGTTTTAGACTAGGCGAGACAGCACCTTGGAAGTAGGGCTGTCTCGCCCTCAGGGCTGAGATATCTCTGTCTCGGCCCGTCGTCAAGGGGCTGTCTCGCCCTCAAATTTTAAATCATTATTTCTGTTTTATTTGGGTGAATTAAGATTAAAATTCGTATTTTAGTATTAAAGAGAAACATTATATATCGAACAATTTAACCAGAATCTTTAAAAAATATTTATTTATATTAGAATTTTGTAAAAAAAATTTTTAAAAAGTGCGCCAAATGATAGTACTTGTGACGTAAGAGAGGTAACTCTTGTTTACTTCTAGGACAGCAACAAATCACGTTTTAAAAAAAAAGGATGTTTATTTGCTCTGACAGTAAGACAATACAAAGTGTTCATGTAAATGTGCCATTTTTAATTTGATAAATATCGTAAACAAAACAAACAGTTACTATAAATTTCAGATTTACAACTTGTAACGATTCGTTGAAGAAGTTGTAACCCCGGTTCGATCTGAAGTGAAAGTAGAATATTTTTTTGAAGTTTTTTTTTTACCTTTTTAAATCTTTGTTATATATAATGTGCTTCGAAATGAAATGTTTCAAAACACTAGGGCTTTTCTTTTTAATGACTAGACCAAGTAAATCTTTCTCTATAGATGATTATTCGCAGTCAAGCAACATCTCCAAGAACATCGAAATAAAGAAAGATAACTCTAATTTTGTTACGACAAAATTATATTCACTTTTTGATTGAAAATTATCTAAATATTTGTTTGTGTTTCTTTGGTTTTAGATATATGATATAAACAACATCACACCACTGTTTTGATCTCGTCCCTGGTATCAGCCCTCGGATGGTTCTCGGCCCGCGCCCTCCGGGCTTGGGCCGATACCAACCGCTCGGGCTGATACCAGGGCCGAGATCAAAACAGCAGTGTGATATTCTATATTTAGGAAGTCTAAAGTCGGCAATTCTTAAATCCCATGGTCGGTATAATGCCTTTATGCAAATATAACATTGGGTAGTAGTTTGGCCGGCTTATTTTTTACCGATTGTAAGATCTTTGTTTTTATTCCGAATTGAGGATTCTTACACCTTCTCGGCACCTGATCCCACCTACGGAATTTCCAGATCCGTGTTTTTGCTTTCTTCACAGTTTTGCATTGTTTGTGGTATTTTTTTTAGCTTGATTACTGTTCGTTATTTGTATCATTTTTTTCCCAAGCTGATGACACGTATATAAAAAAGATGTACACTTCAATATTATTGTCTTTATTACTCAAGTTCATGTTTTTGGTACTATTACGCGTGAATGTAAACTTTCTTTCTCTTTCTTTTTTTAATTATACATTAGATGCCAGTTTGAGTGCCGATGATCGAAAGGAAACGTGAGTACAGAAAGTTTATAGGCCCTAGTATAAAAATATAAACAGACCAAGCAAAAAATTTTTTAACTATCTGTTTTTAATCAAATTGACTTTTTCTAAAAAGAAAAAATTAAAGAAAAAAAATGATAACGCTCGAGAATAAAGTACTTTGTAAAAGTAAGATCATATTAATTAAGAGAAATCTTCTTCAAAACTCCTCCCACGGCTGTGCCATATGGATATATTTACATTACATATATTTTTTGCATATAAAAAAAATGGAAATCTATTGCATTCAAAACACCATAACACAGAGGTGCCAAGAGGTAAAACATGCGTTTTTAGTTTGACGTCATAATCGTTGAACGCCGAGGAAGTACAACGTCACAAGCGAAATTCAAAAAATCACGTTCAAATTGACCAGAGGCTGTTACGTTGGCTGATCCATTTAATGTAGCTTACACGAAGGATAATACATAGGTTTTTAAATAGAAAAATCACATTTGCAGTTAAGGAAGAAATTTTTAAAAATGTAAATATAAGCAATGAATCATTATTTTTTGAGTGATATAGTTTCATAACTGCAACTGTGTGTGCAAACAAATTTTCATAACGCGCTAACGCGCGTTATTCAATTTGTTTGCACACACCGTTGCAGTTATGAAACTATATCACTCAAACCGCTCATTGAACAAATTGATATGAGCACGCCACCAATATCGAACACATGCGGTGTCTCCGTGTATATTTCTAAGCTTGGGTATGCACAAAAATGATTAAAAACCTGAATTCCATTTTGAAACCGCATAAGTTCGATATTGATTGCGTTTTCGATATGTGCATTGAGCAATAAATTCAGGTACATGTATTATATATGGCACAATCTAGAGAGGAGTTTATTTCTGATTCATTCTTTCTATTGATAGTCTGGTCCGATTTATAGAAAAAAATACTTCTAACGGCAAATAATTATTATTTGGTCCAGCATAGTTGTTTAACCTATTTCGAGTATGCTGAATCTGAAAAAATATGTTGGCCTTCATGAAAATGACGTTAAAGAGGTCAAAATGGCGATTCAAAATGGCGGACATCAAATTTTTCTAATTTTCTCTTAATATCGTTCAAAATGGAGAAATAATGTGTGAATATCTCACTGAGTGTAATACAAGTATAAAAATGATAATAGAATGCTAACATTATTAGTCTAACTCAGAAAATTTAGTCGTTTCTACACTTAATTCGAATTTTCTCTGATTTTTTGGTATATTGTTCTATATTCTTCTTTGTTCGGGATTTTACATTTGAAAATATCCATACACTGCAGATTTGTATTTTTTCCTCTGCATCTCACTATTCTACAACTGAATGATGGCGCAGCTGTAAGTTAAAAGTCAAAATGGCGATTCAAAATGGCAGATATCCATCATTTAAAAAAAAATTATTTCTTAATGTCGTTTACATAGGAATATCTTACTGATATACAACTATGTAAAATGCCAACAGAACACTAATTTGATCACTTTAAATCGGAAAATTTAGTCGTTAAATTTGAAATGTGTTAATTAGCTCAAAATGGCAATTCAAAATGACGTCTGGTACACTCGAATTTCGTAGAAACTGCTTAATTCTGGTTCGTTTTGCAGAAAATGAATTGCAGTTTGTTTTTTATATATCTAGTATATTGATTAGTCCATACATGTAAAATATGAACAAAAAATACGGGAAAAAATGATTCATTTTTTTTCTGGAAATACCGGTAGTTAAAAGTGTCCAATTTTCCCCCTTCGTATTTGACCGTACGTGTTCCAAAGCCTTTGAGCCCCCTGTCCACCAAAAATCACCCCCGAATCCGATCATTATCAACCCGCTACCTCAACATCCCTCGGGACACCATCAATTATAACTGAAGAAATTCTTGTCCGATTTCATCGAACACTTTGTTCTAGCTTTTTAGCACTTATAAAAACTTGGTATTATCCTCTAACATCTTCTATTCCAGCTTTATTTGGTATATGTTTCAGTCTATCTTCGGAATTTTGGTATTTTCAACACTCAAGTAGAATGGTGCCCCGTATCAAGGATGACAACCCCCTTGGCATGTAAAAGATCGTTTCTCTGGAGGTCGAAAAAGAGTAAGCTCTCTGAGGGCCGCCAGAGAAACCAAAATCCTTCAAAAACCGATTATTTAAACTGCTATTCCGCCGAAACATTGCTGCAAAATTGCCGACTCGGCGTTAAACAATTATACAATCAATCAACCAACTCTCAAGAAACAGCACATTAATGTTCAGATGTTAAATTTCTATTTTATTATTCAAAACCATATGCAAAATGAACTAGAGGTACTGTGAGCAATTAGCTCACTAAATGATATCCTGGTCTCCCATATGAATAAAATGACAGTTGCCATGTTTTGCTATGGGAAACCCAAAATATGTGTCGGATCAAAAAGTAAAATAGGAGGTCACAATGCCAATATGTAATAAAGATTCTACGAAAGTTTCATCAAATTTCATTCAGTGGAGTGAGAGGAGTTGCGGATAAAAGATGGGTACCGCAAAGCGTAACAGACGGGTGGACGGAATCAACTACTTACTACATGTATATACCCTCCCGCTTTTCAAGCGGGGGGGGGGGGTATAAAAAATCTCTGATATTCAAGACATGTGGCTCTTTATTTTGTGACCTCGTAAAGATTTGTTGTCTTTTAGGGTAGAAAGGTTATTCTATTAGCAAGAAAACTCTCACACTTGATCATCTGAAATCACATTGTGTGCATATTTTGGCGAGAAAAGATGTAAAATTATGCAATTTAAGAGTGCCTGCAGATTCCTCGTGATTCCTATCTCTTACAAGCTTTCGTACGAATAGGCTTAAGCCATTCCTGATTTCGATCTAGTCAACACTTCTCTTGACAACAAAATTTTCTTGAACACTTCAAGAACTTTACAAGGCAACTTGATCCACACTTCTTTGTTAGGATAGTGTAAGGTTTTATATATCAAGAATCGAGGGGGGGATTGAACACAAACATTTTCTTCTTTCAGATTTCGTAAATTTCAACATTTTTAAATTGATATATACAAAGTGTACACTGCTCAATAATAAATTACAGCATGAAATATTTGAGAATGCAGTTGAATTTTTGACTGAGAATAACAAAATGTAAATGTATAGGGACACAGAATCAGA